GTGGTGGTGAATGGATAGTTGGGGTCGGTCTGAAGGGGAGGGGCTTAGCTTGACTCTGGTGGTGGTGAATGGATAGTTGGGTTCGGTCTGAAGGGGGAGGGGCTTAGCTTGACCCCTGGTGGTGGTGAATGGATAGTTGGGTTCGGTCTGAAGGGGAGGGGCTTAGCTTGACCCCTGGTGGTGGTGAATGGATAGTTGGGGTCGGTCTGAAGGGGAGGGGGCTTAGCTTGACCCTGGATTCAGAAGGACAGGAAGTGAAAAGGGGTGGAGGGGGGTTGCGTTGAGTCACCTGAAATGACAGCTGTCGGAGGGGGGAGCAGATTTAAAAGGGTTAGCGGAACGCTATGATAGGCTTTTGAGAATAGAGCGAAGTGATTGGTTAAGCTGGGGAGTGACGCCCGATCACTTATTGAGAGGAGAGAGAGTATTAACATGGAAATAGTAAATGAATGAGTAAAGACGCTCTTCCTGGTTGAACTTGCGCTGAGCTTCATTATTACATTAAGCTGTATCTGAAAGGTGTAACGCAGGAAGCACAGCAGAATAAAGCCCTGCTTGTTACATCTTTAAATAGTGCTTATAGAGAGAGGAATAACCACGCCTTGTTTCTGTATAGGAACATAATTAAAGCCCGAGGCTGAGCGGCTGAATCAGAGACTTCATCTGACAAGCAAACACAAAACTGCCTCCAGCAAACCATTCACTTAAATTAAAGAAACGAGTTAAAAGTCCTGTTTCCATTAAGGGACAAAACACGGTTTCTAAAACTCAATATTCTGACCACGATGAAGCAGGAAGGTGTTTTATTTATATATCATTCATATGTGAGGCAGGTTTTATTCTCACATTAACAACACCTCGTCAGATTGATTATTCCTTACACTGGGAAAAGTGCTGCCCCAAAAACAAGTTCAACAATAATGAAATCAAGATGTTTTCACTTGAAAGCTCAAGTGAACATTAGCTTAGTAAGATGTCTTGAAATAGGAAGGGATATTTAGATATAGGCAACTCTAAATACCATGTTTTGACTTAACAAGATGATGCATTGTCTAAAAACAAGACCTGATATCTCAGTGCAGTGTTACTTCTGAAGTCATTGTGTCTCATATCAGGAGTAGAGAAACATCCTGACTAGATGTTAGATTAATATACTGGAAAACATTCAGAGTTTTTGTGAAGCTGCTTCTCCTTATATGATGTTTTTCTCCGAGGTACCAACGACTGATCCATCTCCTGGATTGACGTCCACGAAGAGGCCCTATTATGCCATCATCACAGCTCAAACATCGCTGTAAATTCACACGTATTTTGGGATAAATTAATCACATATTGGTAATCTAAAATAAATGGTTAGTTTCTCGCCTGAAAAGCTCATTTAAAAACTGTTTCTTGGGCAAAAGGGGATAAAGCTGACGACTCTTTAGCAATTATACTTTATTTATTTTGTATTCCTTTAAGGCTCCATGGAAAGAGAGTTTCCTGACATGTACATAAATAAATCTGACCAGGAGTGACTGTACGAGACTGTGCGGGCGTCACCAGAGCGTTTCTGCTTTTGAGGCTGAAACAAAGTCTGTTTTTATAACGTCTGCCTGTGTGTGGTTTGAGTGGGAGTCAATAACACTCAGCAGGACAAAGGCTCTCTGTAAAGGGCAGAGAAAGACTTCCTTTTTACAATGAAATAAGGATCTTATATGCTCATCAATGGTTTCTGCCAAATGTCTTTTTAGCAGGAATGAAATGAGATTCTTTATTTTGATAACTGCAGATTCTTGTTCAGAATCAGAAACGACAGCCTCGGAAGGTGTCGGCACGGCCGAAAAGACACGACGATGCAGGACACACCAATCTGAGTAGGGCGACAGGACGCTCGTCGACGGCCGAAATCAGCNGCAGAGAAAGACTTCCTTTTTACAATGAAATAAGGATCTTATATGCTCATAAATGGTTTCTGCCAAATGTCTTTTTAGCAGGAATGAAATTAGATTCTTTATTTTGATAATTCTTTATTTTCGTCGACGGCCAGACATCTATCGACGGCCGAAATCGTCCCGATGTGTCCGGGCCTTTAGACCACGCCCCACAGAAGCAGAGTCGTTTGCTGAGAGCTGATGGTTGTCGTTTAGCATCTCTCACCGCCTTGCCAAAGACTCTCTAAAACGTGCCTTATCGCCACTCCTAAACGCCTCCTCCTTTTGCAATCTTAACTGTTTCAGTTTTGGTGTGAACCCCGGCTTGTTGTTGTTGAAACTCATCCTGGTGCGCGTTGGTACACAAGCTTTGAGTAGCATTCCTGAACATGTCCCAGTCAGTACAGTCCAAACACGCCTGAAGCTCCACTGCCTGAATGACCTCACTACGGGTTTGAGTTTCTGCCTGTACGCAGGGATCAGGTGAACCATGGTGTGGTCAGAGTGGCCCAGTGCGACTTTGTTAAAGTCCCCAAGAACAGTAACTAGGCAGTCCTCTCCACACACAGCATCTGGTCGGCGAGTGTGCGCTGCGGGGCCAGTATGAATGAAGAACAGTGGGAGAACAGTGCTGCAGAATCACCGTCACATCGTTGCACCAGCCGCTGGAAGCCTCCCAGCTGCAGCGCCAAGTCTGGAATCGATCCACACTGCCAGCTCTCAGTGAAGCACAAAACACAAGAAGAAGAAAAGTCTCTGTTTGTCCTAAGCAGTAGCTGAAGCTCGTCCAGTCCATTGCTTACGGAACGCACGTTAATGGTTTCCAGACCGAAGCGATTAAAACATGATGACGGTGAATCATCTGCACATATGTTTGTATTTACTTCTGATTCTTTAAGGAGACAACATTTCAGAAAGCAAAGTCTTTAGACACAATATTCCTGTGTACCAAGAGGTGGGTTTCTGGGAGGAAATTGTGGTTTATTTATTTCGTAGCTTCAAAATCAGCTCTAAAGAACTCTAATAAATATGTGGGTCTGGTTTGTAGATCTGTGTTGACATGAACAGCCGCCTCAGATGTGAGACTAGGGACAACTTGTTCTTTCGTTTGATTATTGCCAATCTTTCCTGGAGGATTAATAAGGTGTGTCCGTTGTTCTGAAGTTCTTCTTATTTGTCAGGTTTAAACTCGTCGAGTTCAGCGAGGACAAGACCGCTAACCAATAACGATCTTTAGTCAACTTCAGCTGTACTTTGAATACAAATAGCTTTTGTTTCACTCTCGGTTCACTTTGGTGGATGATGTAACTAACTCTCTCTCACACACACACTCACA